TTTACGATAATTTCGGATCATCTAAAAATGAGAGAGAATTTATCGTGGGGTTTTGATAAAAATGAGCAACGAACAAATAAAGTTGTGTGTAAAACGTTTCCGAACGGCGGATCCAGAGAGGGTTTGACATCAGTGCCTCTGACATAACAACTTGACTGGCGGACGGATGGCAGATGACCACCCTACCCCTTCAGCAGCTACAGCATCAGATTAACTTTTTGCATCAAATTACCATTAAAAAACCTTTTGCACTGTCCACTAGCTTGTTTCGGTTACTTGTGTAGGTCTTTATATTTTTTTTTTACTCAAAGTTGCCGTCATTGATTTGCAAATAGCGATTAATGTGGTAAATTTAAACAGCCTGTATTTCGGAAGCCACGCATTTTTCGACCCATGTTTATATAGACTTTATGCATTAATTTTAAAAGTTCTATCGAATCTTAAAGTTATGCAACAATAAACTGAAACACGCTGTATATCCTGTAGTAATGCACGTTATTTAACGTATTTTATTGTTCACCAAGTTCGCATTCAATGAAATATTAATCACGGCAAACATGACAACAACTATCGATCATATTTGTTTTTTTTTACTTATAATGTTATGCAAATCCTATAAGTATCCTGCACTATAAATTTGACTCGACGCCCTTTACTTATCGGTAGCATCCGTGATAACTTTTAAACTTTATTATCCACAAGAAGTTTCCTCGCGAATCATTAAGGTTAATTTACTTCAAAAAATTACGATATATGACATTACGCATTAAATTTTGATGTTAATTTCCGAGCTATCATGCAACTTTCAAAGTTTCCATTGCCGGATTTTGTTTGTTAATAATTGCAGTAATTTATGTTATCCGCAAAACAGTTATTGTGCGCACTATTTGCCGTCTGTCCTCATACCACATACCAAAAGATGTTAATTATTATTATTAAATTCGCCTGGGGGGGGGGGTCATGACCCACATAATGAATGAGCTAAAATCATCATTTGGTCCATGCAAATCGGAGAGAGACTATTTTGAATAAAATAAATTTGCCGCGACAAAAAATATTTGTTCATTTTCTCTTTGTCCTGTTTACTTTGCGATAGACCTTGTATATCTAAAAAGACGCTGGTTATATCACAATCATTAGCGCCCTATTTGGGCTTTTCATCAAGAGCGCATCAGTGAGCGTGTCCGTTTATTTTCAGGATCCCCGAAATGTCAAGAAAAACAACGATTTCTATTGCTTTTGTTCGAAAACTATACAGTTTTTCCGTCCCTAGCATAATAGCAAAATACATTTTCTTCGACAAGAAAAAAAATATGATAAAATTGTGTTTCAATCATCTGAACTCACCATGAAACGATCAGTCGAAAAGTATCAAGAGTATTCCTCAAAAAATCGAGTAATTACTCTACAAGACTTCGACTTTTAAAAAGTCTCCTCTCCGGAGTCTCGACTCGCACAACTAAAAATTTGTCAGCGTCAAAACCGCGGGCTCTATCGACTTGTACTCGAAAAGCTGGGCATGTACACAAAATAAAAAGCTTCGCTTGTGCAGCTGCAGTCGCCAGCTGACGTACATTAAACTCAATTCCGCGACAGCGACAGCCGACAGCGACCTCTACAGGAAAAAGCCCCGGAATTTTTCATCAACAACTTACCGTAACGCGTCGGCTAAAGTGTACGGAATTCCGGCAGTAAAACCACTCAGATCGTTTGACCAAAACCCCTCGTATTCGGACTAGGCAGAACGAGCACGTTCACGATTTGGTTTTGTTCGAAATCGAGGTAATTCTTTGACGTTTGAACAAGGCGGGTGCGAGCCATTTACAAGGCACTTGTACCCTACTTTAAAATAAGTACGAGATATTTCCTTATCTTTCTTCAAGAAATAACTTTTTTGCCACAAAAAAAAAACCCTCCAATAGCTATTTTCAACAACTAAATGATAAACAAACCATGGGCGTAGTGAAGAATAGCATTTACTTATTAAGTAAATTCTTTTAGTCAAATTTCTTCTGAAAGTAATACAAACTAATCTGATGTACCTATTAAAGTCTACTTTAAGCTTTAAATCAATAAATCTTCAAAACTACTGAACTGAAGTACATTAATTTTATATCATTATAAAGGGATTTGAAAGAGCTTTAAAATAAGGTATCACTCGACCCCCCTTTCCATTTAACATTTTAGGGTTGGTGTCACCTCCGCCCAGGGGGTGCACGTGTTAACGTGCTTTTCTGCCAAACTTGTGTCCCCCTCGAAAACAAAATCGACGGGTCTGAGCGTTTTTTCAAAAAAAGAATGACCTGCCAGTAAATGCGTCTGTTTCGTTTTCGATGCGCCATCCTGTATACAACACCCTGTATACACTTTTTTACAAATATAATGCAACTCGACGATAACACAAGGAGGTAAGTGCTCTTGATCGGAGTCCTATAAACAATCGTCGTGTTAGTTTCGTTTGTTATGTGTTAGTGTTCGGCGCGATCGTTAGATGGCGCTGTTAACGGTGGTGCGAGGAATCATGGGAGAGATTTTTATCTGTAGTGTAGCTAATAATCTGTGTCTGACTTGTGTCGAAACCTACTCGACGCCTTTTTTATCTCGTAAAGGATAATTTAAGAAATGTCTGAAAAACAGAGAGTGAGACTTCAACCACTATTACTGCAGAAGCTGAAGCCAAATTTCCGACCACAATTCGAGTTTTTTAACAAAATTATTTTGGCACCTGGCATGGAACCTGAAACTAGGCGTATTATTTGTAGTTATTTGACCGGTCATTGGGGAGAACTTTCTAGGAAGATTTCAAAGGCGGTTTTGCGAGTGGCGCAATTATTCGAGTCTGTGGTCTTTTCTGAAGCCAGAGCTCCAATTTCGTTTTTAGATCGATAGCTCAGGATTTTTCTTGATGCATGATGATGAATCGACGGCGCGTCAGAAACATAGCAGCATGCTGCCTAGCCGCTAGCGCGTTAAATTTTGCTTTAAAGTGGGTTGTACAGACATGAAACCGGACGTTGACGCATTTTGATTTGTCCTCCCAATATTCAAGGGAATCGAAAAAATATCAATCCTGTGTTTTATATTTAAAGAAATATTACATTTGTAATTGTTCGTTTTCAGACAGGTGTTTTTTGTCGTACAGCTCATCACTAAAAATTACGTTAACATTTTATACCTGGCATCTGCATAATAAAATAAATAAAATATGTAATTGTACAGTTTCAGTTACGACGCGATATGAAATTGTATTGATATATTTTAGAAAGCGTATAATTTCTTGACTGCAAAAAACAGGCATAACCAGCATGGCACACTAACCTTTCTCTCGGGTTACGAAATGTCTTCTTAAATATACGGCGGATGATTTATTAGAGTCAACAAAGGAACACTTTGATCCACCATTAATCAATTTTATATTTCTCTCGAGTATCAGCACTGAGCTTTTACCAGGCTTTCATGCAAATCGCAGATATAAACGAGTCTTTACTGGCAGAATAACAGATATATTTATTTGGATATATGATTGGGTTAGAAATGGCCTAGAGATATATATGTCAGTACGAAAATGCTTCTACAGGACTAACAAATTATCTTGGCTTTGGCCTGTGAGCTTAAGCAGTTCTAGAATATTCTGTTATTTATTTAGACTTACTGACAATCATAGACTTGTTTCCTAGGTAAACTAAGTGCTCAATCTGAAGCCAATTTGACAATAGGATCCCTAAACGACTCATATTTTCTACCTTAAAATCCATCGCAAGAATTTGTCACTTTCATAAATTCGAAACAAAAAATATTGTTTTTTTGCGTAAAAAGGTATATTTATGTTTCCCCGTTTATACAGGGTGTCCGCAAAGTTGGGGTTTTCCTTTACACGACGTGTATATCTTGAAAACATAAGCAATTTTTCTTAGTATCATATACACCAATGTCTTAAGGTGAACCGAGATAAAGGGCTCTGCAACATCAAAAATATCTGAATACCGTCCTGTAGCCGCGACATACCCCAGCGGTACTAGGACACTAGCTCAACCCGACGACAGAACTGGGTCGGGGTCAGTGTGTCAGTTCAGTATGCAACCTTCAACCGACGGTTACGGTCACGCGTGTAGAGATAATCGTGTAGACGTGAATCCCTCAACAAGCACTAGAGACGTGGCTAGAGAAGTGCAAGTATCAAAAACTAAAGTGTGGCAAACGCTGCGTGAAGAGGGGCTGTATCCGTTTGACGTCCAATTCGTACAAGTCCTTCAACTTGACGATTTTCCAGCAAGAGTGCGGTTTTGTGAGTGGTTGTTGCATCAACATGTCAATAATCCGGACTTTTTGAAGTGCATATTGGTGACAGACGAATCTACTTTCACGCGTAATGGGGTGAATAACTTTCGCAACACTCATGTTTGGTCAGTAGAAAATCCGCACGCTGTGCGTCGGGCACATTTTCAACAAACATTTTCGGTGAATGTTTGGGCTGGCATGGTGAACCTAGACCTAGACTTTTTACGCAACATTTTGCCTTCCTTGTTTGCCTGCGTCTGCTCGGTGGCGCATCAGCTGATTTCATTTTCTGTTGGAGCGGTATGATTTCGGGCAGAGACGTACTTAGCCCTTCTCGTCAACTGGAGAGTGAGTACTTTTTCCTTTATTTTTTTTACTTGGTCGCCCTCGTTTCACTACACATTACCTTTGTTATTTCAAGGGTAGTTGTTTCTGAAAAGGAAAACCCCAACTTTGCGGACACCCTGTATATATACGCAAGAATGATTGTAAGGCAAGTCACTACATTGACTGACCCATCGCCCAGTTTATTATAGAAGATTGTCGTTGCGATAAACACAAAGCTCATCTCTGCCTTCTGTCACATAAATAATGGAAATTTCATTTTCTGTCGAACATAGAAAATACAAGTCATTTCCAAGGAAAATATTACGATTCTAATATTGGCGGAAGACCCGCGATGCCTCGATTTCGTTAGGAAAATATCGTTCGTATGCATTTACGTTTTCCCTTACTTCGTCGCCCCTCTTTATCAAATTATCGTCTTTTTCTTGGACTTCCTTCTTCTTACTGCTTTTAGATGTTTGCGAGACAGGGGCGTTCTCGAACAAAAGAATCGTCGAGCGCGGGATCCCATAAAATCTTAAAAGTAGGCAACCAAACTGGTAGACAATTTTACCCAAATTCAAATCTCGATATTTTCTGAACGGAAAGAGATATCGAGCTGCGGTTTTCGGGAGGTTCTTGACCAACTCTTTGAAAACACCTACAGGGTTCGATCGGTATGTGTCATAATAATGCAAGGATTACTTTCTTATTTGTCCACCGATACCCAATTTCGGCTTCAGATTCCGGTTTAGCCTGAAAAAGTGCACAATAAAAACATAGTGGGATCACCATCGCTCACAACTTTCTGATTTTTTGGGATTGTTTAAGCAACAGAAAAGTTAATGTTCATTATTTTGGTGGACACCAGCACGGGTGTTGCGTATCTTTCAAAGTGACATTTCAGGTTTTTGAAGTGCAACCTGATCCTTTCCTCGACGGCGATAGCATTAAGCGCCCCCTACCGGCGGGTATCGCGTCGCCCGGTCGTCGCATCTGTTTTCCAATATACATTATAATTATGAGTCTGCCGCTGTTGAATATTCAACACATTCTTCCGCTAACGTCACACGCTGTTTTCTCTCTTCTGTTCTGTCTGATGAAAGGGGTCGACACCCTTCTCGATAATTAAAATGTTCCTACAAAACGGAATTTTTTTCCAACTAACGCCGTGACGCCTGGAATTATTCCAGAAATAAATGGATAGCGCCGTTTTTTTGCTCTCGTCAAAATTCCGAACATTCTCCTGCCTGCGCCGGCGTCAGCAATTTTACGCAACGGTATTACAAACGGTCATATTAATATACTGACAGAGAAAAAAGGACACCCGGTAATAATGAATCATAAAGGTTTTCTAGATATTCCTGTGGATAGGTCAGGGCAAAAAACGATCCGTTTTATCGCCAGTTTTGGCAGAGGAAGTAACAATGTAGATACACTATCGTTCAAAAGTATTTCAACACCTGCATAAGCGTTTGGAAACCCTGATATTTCAGCTCTCACTAGCTATAGTGGAGATTCCGTAGAAGATAATTAAACATAAACAAACATTTTAAAAGGAGAATTGACCATGAGGTCAATAAAATTTCAGTAAATATCGATCTATATTATTTGATAGCATTCTGGGGCGAGAAGCCCAGCTAGCATCTATCGTCACTCGGCACTTTTCGATTTTTATTTGTTTCACCAAACGATTTAGCGAACTACTGACCTAGTGAAAAGAGCATTTAACCTCCGTTGAAACCCCGGATTCAGCACTTGTTCCCCATCGCTATGAGTGGTGGTTTGAAACATTTAGCGGGTCGAAAAGCCGCCAGCGGAACTCCGTTAAAGCGGCTAATTGGTTTTTTGTGTTCGTTTGAAATGTGCAGGCGACAGACAAACGGACAGACGGACCGACCGGCGAGAGCGGACAAGAACAACTGCAGCCGGTGCTCTGTTAGTCACTAGGCCAGTCGGAAGTTACTCGTCGAAATTCACACATCAGGCTTTGCAGACTTCTTTGCGGTTTTTATTGAGCAGTTGGTTTTTTGAGGAAGGTTTTTTGTGGCTATATTAGAAATCAGAGCCCCGATACACGTCAATGTACCGAGTGTTGTTTTCTTGCCTTGAAAAGATCCTCGCAGGACAAACCCGTAGTAGGTTGACACTGTTGACAGTTGAAGTAGCCGACGTACAGATGGCAGAAGAAAGTTGGGCAATTTTTTAATAATCTCAAGACGATCTAAACCTGTCAATTTTTCGCACGTGCCGACTCAAAATATTTCTTATCAGTATTCACGTAGGTAGTATATTCAAAATCAGAGTTACAAAGTACTTGAGTACAGAAAGTTTCACTCAATTGTAACAACTGCGGAAAATATCGGAAATTGCTTGTTTGAAGCTGTCTTCGAACTAATATCTTGTATACGACTCAATATTTCATCTCCATCCGAACGATTGTCACCCAGCGAACTAGAGTACTCTCCGTTTCAAATTGAACCTCGTCGCATCGTATCAAAAAAGCAACGGGCACTCGCTCTGCGAGTCGCAGAAATTGCTGCATCACTTCACAAATTTCTATTTCGCACTCCAACGTTGAACGCCGAGCTAAAGTCTCCCAAGACGGGGAGGTTTTTCGATTACAGTGTATCTTTTCCCGACGCCGACTATTTATCTGCTTGCAGCCTGTTCGGTTGACAGTCGATTTCGTTGCTGGCGATCGCGAACGGATGCAGGATTGATTAAAATATCTTTCCGCAGCTGTCGCGTTATTACCTATCACTCGATTGTCGGAAGGATTAACGGCTATCTAATTCAGAAAATGGAAAGTAGCTTTAAGAGCGAACTGAAAAAGATATCAAAACGCTTGATATGTTGCTAGTGCATATTATAATATACATATATATATATATATATATATATATAACTTGAGACGTGCTCATTGTCGTCTAAACCAGTTAGGTGACAAATTAAAGCTTACGCCTTTTGTTGGGTACTTCGACAAAATTTAAGCAAAGAGGTCTCTTTATACTTTTTTAATTCTCTCTAGCTTTCAATGGACTTTGCCATCATCATCAGGAGCTGCAATTACAATGATAACAGTAGCAACAATAGTGTAAAATGAATTTAAATTGACTCAACTTACAGTAGTATGTGAGGATGTTGCTAATTGTTGTTTACGTATAGGATGAGGGAAACGTCCAGTACCATTGTACCATCTATCCAGCTCTCACCATGTTACTGGACGTTTCCCTCATCCTATACGTAAACAACAATTAGCAACATCCTCACATACTACTGTAAGTTGAGTCAATTTAAATTCATTTTACACTATTGTTGCTACTGTTATCATTGTAATTGCAGCTCCTGATGATGATGGCAAAGTCCATTGAAAGCTAGAGAGAATTAAAAAAGTATAAAGAGTCCTCTTTGCTTAAATTTTGTCGAAGTACCCAACAAAAGGCGGAAGCTTTAATTATATATATATATATATGTGTGTGTGTGTGAGCAGTAATCATTGCCATTGCCAACGATCAGTTGGGCAAAAATTACAATTATTTATCAATTGGGAAATTGGCAAACTTTTTAGGCTTTAGTTAACTCTTTTGATGGTAATATCTAGCTTTCTGCAAATGTTCGGCCAAATATATAAATAAACCATTTTCTATATATCAGACTTCTAGTTTTTACAAGCTCCATTCGAATACGCAATGCAGTATTTGAAAAAATATGCTTGATATGGCCCGAAATTATGAAACAGAATAATTTTAAAAGATGCACCAGCAATATAGCAAGGTTGCCAAGAAAACAGATTTTTGATATATTTTCCAGACTTTCCATTTTCGTTGTGACACCCTGTATGCTTAGAAAGTAATCTATTATCGTAAAGGGCGCTGTTTTGTTATCCCCAGACTGACAAGTAGGCAACTTCTTAATCTAGCGTCAGCGATGAAAGTTTCCAAAGCCATGATCGAAAGAGCGCTATGTCGAGTTAAACTGGAAATCAGGGAAAATTGCGTGATTCCGGTGAAAATTGGAATTGTTCCTGTACACTTCAAATGTACGAGTACATTTTCCTTCTACTATCTCGAACGGATTAAGTTAGAAACTGTTATTTCTCACAGCGCAATCCGCTGTTTGCCATCGTAGGAAGATAAGAGGAGATGGAAGAACATCTGTGTTCTCCAGTGAGAGTTGGTTCAACGTTTTTCGAAATTAGGAAATCTTGATTTTTAATTTTAAAGTGGGAAACCAATGTTGGACGATTTTGTAGTCAGAAGAGAAGATTCTTTGTACTTGACGTTACTTTTTGTAAATATGAGCCTTTATCTGGGTTTTTATGTAGACAAAGAATATATGAGGAGCTTGCACAGAGTGTGAGGGTGACACTTTTCTATTAGTAACATGAATGTATCTTCTGATACTGTAAAAATACACAAAATCCTCAAAATATAATACACAGGAATTGAATGCATATGGTAGCCACACATATATTTTTTTTGTTGGGGATAGGTCACAAATTTTAATAAACAAAATCACATGACCAAACGAACTTACATGTAAGTGATGCTCGATCTTAATTAGTGAATCCCTCGTCGAAGTAAATAGAACAGATGTAATCGTGGGTTTGGCCGGAAAACGGGGGACTACACCCGTTCTATTTACGAGACGAGGCCGGGTACATAATCACCCAGTTTTGACCGTGCCGATTAGCATCCTAGAAGATACCACAAAGAAACCAAGTCTGATTTTAAAAAGTTCTTGAAATTGTAATTGTAAATTTCCAGTTGAATAACATCGCGGTTGCCTTATTTGGCACTGATATGTTTCCCGTCTAAGACCGCAATCTGCGTTAAACTGGAAGCCTCGTCTGGAAAATGGTGAAATTTTTCATGACCGCCCTAAAAGCTATCTTATCAGAGCTGGGTTTTATGGTGTCTCGGCGTTTTATACTCTGCCATCAAACGTTAATTGAGCGAATGACGGAAATGCTCACTTGATACTCAGCATCACCGTTAAAGTTAATTAAAAAGACACACATGAAGTATAGGTATGTTTCTCAGATAAATAATTAGGCGTGGTGGGTACTCGTCAATGGAAAACGGTGATATTTTCATCAAGGAATGAGAAAGAAACCATGAATTTCGAGACTAGACGTCAAGGGAGCCGGGAGACAGAGATTTTTGAGGCTTTAGGGTCAAATTCAGCTTTATGTTCATCAAATCTTTGGCTCATTTTATTTTATGTAAAAATCAATTACGTTTATTATAAAAAACAATATACAAGCAAAGAATGCCGCACCAAATGAGTGTTTCACCTAAATTACTTTTTTTATGTTAGATACTGTTTCACAGCAAACCAACTTTGTTATTTCAAATATAGCTATTTCTAAAAACGAAAGCTTCAACTTTCAGGACATTCTATACAGGGTGACTTCGAAGTTGAGTCATTTATTTTAACAGTGAGTAGATCTGATCAAAAGAAATGTTTTTTTCCTTTACCATTTTTCTGGTAAAATTAAAGTAACAAAGTTATAGCCCTTTGGAAGTTTGAGTACCGCCCTGTCTCAATAATAATATTATGTGCTAGTGTTTGGCAACAATGGATATAATCCGCATTATCGGTTCATCGCATCGGAAACAAAAAAGCGAAAGAATTTGGAACGATGTTTTTACAATTATTCTATTCAGTTGTATACAGTCAGTGTCAGTCGGTAATGCGTGAGTGAATAGTGGTGTCTGTTGCGTGGCTCAAACTAAATAAAAAATGGCACATGTTTATGCGGATCGGTTTCCCAATCGAGTGCAACCAACCCCTCGTGCCTTTGTTAATGTAGTACAATGGGCTCGTGAATCAGGTGACTTAAGACCTCACAGGGGACGGCGTGCCGGTGCTCCAAGACCTCACGATCAAATACAGGTCCGCACTGAAATACTTGTCGGGAGGATACTTTATAAAACAAGGTAAATTTTTTTTTAATTTTTTTTTATTTTTACACACATATTTTGGTTCATCTTCCTTCTACAATCATTATCTGAAAATTAATGACTCAACTTCAAAGTCACCCTGTATAATTGTACGAATTGGTTCTGAACTTCGCGATCGCTGCCTTCTGACACGCACCTGCCGCGTTGTCAAGTCTTTTTCTAAGTTGCGATAAATCCGGTGAAACTCTTTGATTAAAATTTCACTTTGTCCAAAACGGCGCGACCGCTTAACGCTCCCTCTCGTTTCGTAAAATATGCAAACTTTGACAGTAAACTCCTATTAAAAGGTAATCAGGACGTCCCGATGGGCAGCAGCTACATTTTAAAACGACATTACGGTTGAAAGTTAGCAGGGCGAGCGTTTGACGAGGGTATGATGATGTCACCCTCGCGGGGCTTGCTCTACCTTGCTTTCCACGGTGAAAGGTTAAGTAAGGATCAGCTGTACTACATGAAGATTCAATTTCAGACATGCATAATGAAAATGTTAATTTGGACTGAATCGGGAACTAGAATAACTGAAAATGAACTCGAGATGTCCCGAAAAATGAAAGTTCGCTGATTAACCTTAAGCAAAGAATAATTATCTTCATCTCTATTCTACTTGAATATTGTAGCGAATAGTATCTCTGCTTTTACGCGAACCACGGCCGCAGTGGTTCGCCTTCTAGATCGACGCGAAGTGACCTCCAATATTCTATAGTAGATGCCGCTGTGTGGTTCACCAGACCTTTCTCGAAGCAACAATGCGGACTATATAACTCGGCGGCCGGGAGATGGAAGCAGAGAGTACAGAGCAGAGCGGAGTGGAGTATAGTGCAGTCAATGGCGACATAAGAATTAGTGGTGAATATAACTACTGTTCTATCAAGTTAATTAAATTAGTGCATTTCTTTTTGCGGAATCCAGTGTTTTAATCCATACCCAAAAAACCCCAGAAAAACGCTATTTTCTCGCTCAATTTTTAATTATAGTTTTCAGTCACACGAATAACGTCGAATTTATTACCATTACTGGACCCTTTACATATCTGTAAAAAAACATCAAAGCGCCCCTTTTCCCTTTCTCTCGTATTCGGCAAACATGATTGCGAAAGATCCGCTTTGAGATAACGCAATATTTGGCCGGAGAGATACAAGTAGGGCGAAAGTAACCCCCTCTCGTTATTTTTCGATCGATTCGCTGATAGGGTCGCTTTAAAAACGAGGTCGGGACCTTTTTAAAGGGACTAAACAAAAAGCGAACGACGCCGATATTCCACTTGATTTTATGGCCATCGGATCGTCGGTTTGAATTCCCGCCGCGCTTTGACTTCGCTACGGAGGCAGGCAGTTTCGTTTAGCTGCAGGTTATGTCAGGTACTCGAGCTTCGGGGTTATGTTGCACGAAAGGTCGCTTTGTTGGAAGGGAAGGCGCGGGACCGCTTTTACGCCACTTTAAAAAAGGTTTTTATTTTGTCTCGTTAACTGTGCGCGTTTGCAGGTCAATCGAATTTTAGATACGTGTGTGATGAAGACGTTATACAGCGTGTCAGTTAGGTATGCACCATAAATTTAAGAGACGATGCTTTAACATAACCATTTAAAATTAAAAAAATATGATTTTCGTAAATATCTTAAATGTCCTTTACCAAATTTTGTTGTAATTTGTTGGTAGTATTTATAACATTAAGGAGCTGATTAAGCTATAACTTGAGTGAATTTATCAAGTCAGTGGGATCTAAACTAACATTTGGGCAAAAAAAATGTACGTCACTGACTTTTGTGCAATTTTCTCTCATGATTTTTTTTTCATACCTTGCTTTGTTTTCCAAAGAAAAAATCATTGGTCCATTTAAGTAACTGACCATCTTTTTTGAAATGATAAATATTTGAAGTTCTATGACAGTTATGGTAATTCTAAAGCACAAAGACATAATATTACATCTATAACCTTATTTATAAGGTAACCGTTTTCTTCACGACTGTATTCAACATTTCAATAGAAATCTCTGATATTCAGAGACCTTTGATACCGCTAAGGTATTTTCCCGTTGATCCAAGGGACCGTTAAATATTAATGTTGATGAAATTGGTAGCGTTTCTCTGTCCACGGAATATTGGACGACCCTGTATACACGGACGTCTTTATTGTCAAAACGAATGACGCGCCGCCTCTTAAAACGTCTCTTTCATGACCCACTTGGCCCTCTTCGGAACGAATTTAGCATCTAGTCACCGGCTGTCTCGCGTTGACAAAGGCCCGCGCGACGAGGGACGCAAATATTATTTCTGATTGATTTCCGGGCGTCGGACGGCGCGACAATAGCGGAATAGCAGTCGAGGACTGGGGCATTCCATTAAGGAATCCGACAGAAAAACCTTCTCGGAGAATATCGAGGATGGGCTTTCGTATAGACGGGTATAGATAGTGATGTCGGATGCAGGACAACACTTGTTTAAGGAAAAGCTTTTTAGTTCGAGAGACAGAACACGGTTTAGAGAGGAGTTGTTTCCAAGCTTTTTATAGGCGATAGAAGTTTCTTGCAATCATGTCACGTGCTAAAATCACTTAACCTTTTGGTCACATATCAGTAATTTGAATTTCTCTTTATTGATAGTATAGTGCCTATTCCTAGACCAAACCCTTTTTAATGAGTTTATTTTGTCAAATTTCACAGTTTATTGATTGTACAATTTCACAGGTATTATATGTCATTCTCAGCGGCGAATATTGTATCGAAATCCTTTGTACGAAAATGTTATAGAATTCTTAATGACTATCTTACAATTTTCCTTATAAAAAATTGTCAAGTTATTTTAGCAACAAAGTTTGGTCAATTCAATCGGACTCTATGTACTAAATTCCTATTTGAAATATATTTCCTTATCTTTCTTCAAGAAATAACTTTTTTGTCACAAAAAAAACGCTCCAATAGCTATTTTCAACAACAAAATGATAAACAAACCATGGGCGTAGTGAAGAAAAGCATTTACTTATTAAGTAAATTCTTTTAGTCAAATTTCTTCTGAAAGTAGTAAAAACTAATCTGATGTACCTATTAAAGTCTACTTTAAGCTTTAATTCAATAAATATTCAAAAATACTGAACTGAAGCTCATGTATTCTACATCATTATAGAGGGAATTGAAAGACCTTTAAAATAACGTATCACTCGACCCCCCTTTCCATTTATGAGTTTAGGGTTGGTGTCACCCCCGCCCAGGGGGCTGCTCGTGTTAACGTGATTTTTTGCCAAACTTGTGTCCCCCTCGAAAACAAAATCGACGGGTTTGAGCGTTTTTCCAAAAAAAATGAGCTGACAGTAAACAGACAATTTTCCTTTACCATCAGTTACGGTTGTCATTTCTCGCGGGATTCTATTATAGCAAGTTTCATTTGCTATATGTATCCCTCCAACCTCCAACAGGATAACTTTTCGCGCTGATGTTCATAATTAAAATTTGCGGTTTCGCGGTTACATATCACTTATTCTTGTCGATCTTCCTCATGCTACATTTATTCCTGATGACTCAAAGTAAACGACAAACCAACATCGTAAGCTGACGTATCGCATTCATTACTTAAAGCTACTTAGAGTGTAGCGACAGACTTTCGAATTTATGCGTTGCGTGTCTAGCTTCGGGTAGCGATGCTTCTAGCTTCGGTTAGAATAGATTAGGGAGCTTCAGCTGCATTGTTAAATAATGCAGAATGCCGTTACTCAACCTTATCGATTCGAGGGAGGACGACTTGAGAAATTTCGATGACGCCACTCTAAATATCGAAACTTTCGAATTGATAAGGAGTGCCGGAAACAGGATGCTTCTAGATGCAGCGATGTGTTGGTAATCCTTAAAAATGCACGCTGAATACTCTGTATATTGTACAACACGTGACAATAATAGAATCCCTTGGTGTATAAATATACATCAAAATAAGACGGCTATCATTTTTTGGATGCTTCATTCGACTAAATTTTTAGATTTACATCTCCAAAAATGACATAGGTGAAACGTTATTTTTTTACACTCTACACTGACTAAAAAAATACCCTAAAGAAAGCCTTTAGCTGGAAAAATATGTTCTTGTTTGCTTTTTGTCTGTTTTTGACAGAAAGAGTCTTCTTTCGTATCAATTTTATTGCAGCCTGTCCTGAAAAAAATCCCAAATAGTTAATTTTTTTGATTACGTGGTCTCAATCTTGAAGTAACGCTGATCACTGATAACGAATGTATGATCATAATTAGTATCACTACATTGAACAACTGCTTCTAAATTCTCAGTGGAATTTTGACCCTTTCATACGTTCAATTATAGAACAATCAGCGCAATGAAATTCTGGAAAAAAGTTTGTTTGGCTTTTTCTGCGACACACAATTCCCACCGTCGCGCTGTGCACGTGACTTGCTGAGCTGCCATAAAAGAACAAAAGCTGAAAATGCTCCCGAACGAGAAAGAGTGCTGCTCGAAAAACACGCGCCACTTTGCGGTGTGTGCATGTCGTTGTTTTGTTTTTGTGTTGAAGAGACAAACCTTCTCTACTTCAACCAGCGCCGTACGCAGTGGCAGGGTTCTAACTCGACGAATTTCCACAATTAACTGTTCCAATCCAATAAATTTTTTATTATACGTTATTTCTGACGTTTCTTAAATTTTCTTTCCTTCTAACGGGTAATGATTATTAATTTATATACACTGTTTCAGTATTTTGTCAGTTTGGTTCAAATATTTTGTTCTATGATTAGTGGAAAAATATTTATATAGTGACCTTTCCTAGGTATGCGCTCCGCCGCTCTCGCATTTTTCAGTATATGGCGGAATCGGTAGTAGTCGGTCGGATAACGGATAACAAGGTATCCGTTACAAATGTTTACATGCAATTAAAATTAATTGTCAACAGTAGCCGCACAGCAACAGCGACACAACATCGTTAACATCAACATCGGCAATCGCGAGTGGCCGCTCTTAATTAGAACCGACGAGAAAGTACATAAATGAATCCAGTGTAGTGGACTCACCAGTTCCCCGCTGTCTCTATGCACCCCCCATCAGTTACAGTACCGAACTAACCCCTCGTCAACCTCTAACCGATTTATGGAAGTCGCATGGCTCGTGGTTCACTAGTTGAAACCGACAACAATCGAAAAGCCAGGATGACTAATGAAGAACGGATCATATGTGATCGTTATGTAGCGTTTTTCTGGGTTCTTTTGAGTGTGGATTAGAAGCATTCGAGTCCACAAGAAGAAATGCACTAATTTATTTAAAACAGATAGGACTTTTTTGTACACCACTATTTATATTCCGCATCGCATGTACTCGTTAGTTCGAGAACGTTCCGGTGAGCCACAAAGCGGAGGTCACTTCGCGTCGATATCGAAGGAGAGTCCCTGGCGCGGTTCCCAGCAGATGGCGCTAATAGTTACAGTTAAACAGCTGCTTTAGATATTTTCGATGAGAAGATAATGCCGTCAGTTTCTCTCAAATTACATTGAAACATGTACTGAGAGCGTATTTGATTTTGGTAACATTTTTGAATTTTTTTGTGCAATAAAATTTCGTTCACACACAAACCGTCACATCGATAGAAAAATTCTGCAACAAGGAAAATTGCGACAAAAATCCTGTTTTATCTGTAAGTTCTACCTCTTATAAAAATGCAAATGATAAAAGAGGCACCGTCGAAAGAACTGCCAAAACAAACAACAGTGAGGGAACTCCCAAACATGATGAGCCACCTACCTATTTTAATATAATTTAGGTAGAAAGCAAACCAGGAAGATATTCATTGGTAATTATAACCTGCCAGTTGCAATGAAAAATAAATAGTAAGCATCAGTTTCTTTATCAGTGCACATTCCTCTCGTTCTTGCTGACTGCAAAACGGATATCAGGCAGTCATTTTCGCACCATTTCCTTCTAGATACTGGCAGCGTAAAGACAATTGACTGACCACAGTTTACGAGCAGTCCTTCCGGTCCGTATATCTTCGCAGGCGCGAAAGCTTGCATCGAGAGTGCCAGCCAGCTATTTCTGACCGATAAAAAAAGAGGAACGAGAAGGCAGGATAAAAAACGGGGCCAGTCGATTTGGACAGCACATCCGTTACACCCGTTGTTTCCTTCCCATTCGCAGACCGTTGACTCCCGAATTTATAAGCGAGGATATATTCGTTGGATATTGCCAGTCGTTAGCCGCATTTTTTACACCGGCTGCGGAAATCACGGCAGCCTGGAGTACAGGAACATTTTATCGAGTACGTGTAAGCCTGGCGTATGAGAGAAAGAAAAGAAAAAGTTTCTCATGGAATTTCTAGCCCATTTTGATGGGCCTTTATTGCCTCCTTGATTTTCACAGTTTGTCCTGTTCTTCAGAAAGGCGGGGGCATCTTTAGATTTCCACTGTTCCGTATCAGCGCTCTATTTTGATGTTACATATATCTATTTGCATCATTCTTGTTCATTATTTAAACATAAAACGTAACTTCACAATAGTACGGAACAGTAGAAATCTAGAAATACCCCCGCTTTTCTGAAGGAGAAAAAATACTATATAAATTAAGGAGGCCCTAAAGGCATCTTACAATTTGTATGAACCACGAAGTACATTATACCGTACATAGATAAATACTTCTTTATTACGAAGTCACAAATGAATAGATGATGAGCTAACTACGAGGATATTCAAGTTTCGAATCTGTGATGCTGAGCACCGGGATATAAAAAATAGAAGTAACCATCCTACTGGCAAGAGATTTTAGCATCCTGGCAGCTGCTACCGTCACGTCGTTACTTCGGCTAAAAAATCTGCCGGCTTACGAGCGTTATCTCGTAAAAAACATCGCGACGCCGGTTCATGCCGCGCGGCACACTAATCAGGCTTAGGCCGCGCGCTGCTTTTCAAGAAAAACACATTTTCCAACGAACGCTGAAGCTATCCAGAGAGGCGCTGTTTGAATCTCTCTTGAATATGCAAAACGACGTCCCCCAGTCTATGAAACGTTGGCAACCATACTTTGGATCATCAGAGCACAAACACCATATTTATTTGCAATAGTGCAAAAAGCCGAAATCGAGAAGGATTCCTTTATGCAAATCAGCAATCCAAAACCCGGCATGGTCGCACAGACGCTCCAAATTTATAAATCGAAACAAAGGTGTACTCGTAGCTGATAGAACCACCATCACGATCTAGTTTACGATTTTTTTCTGTCCAGGTGAATAAGTTATCCTCTTAATAATGACCATGGAATAGAAACATGTCAAACGAAAGATGATGGATCCTTCAGATTTTCTGTAACGAGAACGTACATCCCAATTCGAATTTTATTTAAATATATTCCGACTGAATTTTTTCTCGGCGCAAATTGAGCCGAATTTGCTAGAAGCACGCCGAAAAAGCGAGGGGTGTTATCGGAACGTTTTGGTAGAAACATTTTGAAGAGGCAGTTGAGAGGTGTGAACGGTCCCGTTGAAAAGGCCGCTGATTTCAAACTGCAAACAGGATTCCGTGCACGTTCCAGACTGCTGAGTAGCGCAGGTGCGATTTTGCGAGTGGGACGTGCCGCCGACAAACTGGCACTTCTCTTGGAAAACAGTTTGAGTTGTATCTTACTTATCATCAAAGTTTACACGGTTTACAGCGAGAGTTTAGTATTAGTATTTGAATTTGTTAATCGGAAACTTAAAATTCTAAATATGACTACCCAAACTGTAACGCTGAAGTTTAGCACACGTATCAAGGAGCGATGAGAATGCAATAATTTGATAGCAGTTTTCTATTATACTTATTCATAAAATTCTGTAAAAAGCAGATATATTAATAAAAAGTCACGGATTTCAAATGCCGCTTTAGGAATACAAGACTCTGTAGCTCAAGTGGCAAAGCACTGGTCTTGCAAACCAGGGGTCGTGAGTTCGATCCTCACAGGATACAGATTGTAGTATAGCTTTTTTTTTAACACGCTTTTATTAGCTTGACCTGCATGTATGTTTATAACGGAGTCTTTGAGCATAATTTTCACCAATTTCCGGAAGTTTGGTTAATTCGAAACTTCGCACACGCATCAAGGACCGATGACAATACGATATCATGACATGTCCACAAAAAACTAATTGACAAATCGAAATAAAAAATGAAAAGTAAGTAATAGTTTAGAAAAACTAAAAAAACACGTGTTTCTAGCAAACCGAACTAAAAAGTAGAAAATAGTTTTTAATTAGAAAAAGTTTATATTACAGTAGTAGATGTTCGAACAATCAATCATAATCAATGACCTCAAAATAAAATTATAATAAAATTTAAGTTATCAACACAATAATTCAATACATAGTAAAAAAGCGTGGGGTGCATTTTAATACATTTTCAAATCTCTTCTCTCGTAGATTGTTGCCAATTTTTTTAGTTTTTCAAACTATAACTTATTAAACTAACAAGGAGATATAACATCTGTTTTTAATAAGGTTCGACCCTTAGCCGTAGTTTGTAGACCTTGAAGTGCTGGCAAATAAAATTATAGTGATACTCCTATGCCCGCGGAATATTGGGACACCCTGTATAACGCCTCTCCAGCCCCATCGAACATGCGACAAAAAACGGCGGGACCGTTTTCGTAACCGAACCGCATCCAAAGCGGCTTTTTGATCGGCATAAGAGGGTCGTGGGGGTCCCGGGGGTCCCGATTCTAATAAAACGCTTCCCGGACCCGTTCGGGTAATCGAACGTGAACGCGGCTGCATGTTTTTGGCCTGCAATCAACGTCACGAACAATACTGCTGATGCATACCGAATTCTTCCTCTCTCTCTCTCTCTATCTGGCAGCCTGCAATTTCATCGGCGGCTAATGCTTTGATGTGAACGGGAATTTTTTGGTTCACCGGTAAAATTAGAGACAAGCGAGTCTTCTGGACGGGCTCTGGTTAGCATTTTCGTTACCAAGGTAAACGATCTTCGTTCGAATGGATAACTGATGATTCACTTGTATGAGTAAAAGTGGCATTCTCAAATTAGGCGTCTTAGATGATGTACAGTGCTTACAGAGGATGCGGCAGGGAATTACAATTATTTGTAGAGAGGTTTGTGTTGAAGTGGTTATTAAATGTACCACCATTATGTAGTAGGTAAAGGTATTATTTTAGGGTTATAAAGTACTCGTCAGAAGCTTCAAAATGGAGTGCCTGAAGACCACCGTTATCATATAATATTTTTCCAAGTTGGCGCCCACCGGCCATCTTGACATTTTCATCTGTCAATTTTACTCTAAAATATGGTATCCGCGCGTCAATTTCATTAAGTCAAGTTTTAATTCTTTATTCGATGGGGGAAAGGTCTGGAGATCGAGGAGGCCAGATTCACTCTGGACGTTTCTAAAAGGTCCTCTATTCATGATAATGGAATGAAACAACAGTGAAACAAACAGAACCAAATATTTTCACTCCGTATACTCGTCATAAATGAATATCCAATCAAAAGTAAATATGGACAAAAAATGCTTAATCTTCCCTTACAAGTGATGGCCATAGTACACGCCATCTTTTTAGTTCGTCTATCTTTCTCTTTTCTTCTGTATCAAACGGACGCTTTCAGGCGTTTTGCTTGAATCTGTTAACAAAGCCAATATTTTCGTCCAGCAGCAGCAGCAGCAGCAGCGTTGGAACGATGAAAGATCCGGAAGTTCCTGCGAACAGGCTTCGTCGGCCCTCCAAACATCTGCGAACGGTAAAAGCAAACAAAGACGTGGAGGCCGGGAGGGTGCAAGGCGAGATTATTAAATTCTAAGCCTAATATTAGTCGAGAAGGTCCGGCCGAGGCGGGCGATCCATCCTAATCCACTTAAACGCGATAACGCAAGATTGCACGGTGTGGATGAAGGAGCGAACTTCTTGGAGTATCGCAGGCCGCCAGTGGAGTTCGTCGAAATCGTCCGCAATCTAGAGAAACAAATCGTTACGTGGATACATCGAAGGTGCATAGTTCCTATCTCGACACATAGCTGGTGTTTTAAATTCGACAGTATTGAGATTTCGGAAGCGGTGATAAAGTCGAATTAAAAGGGTAAAGTTGTAATTTAAGTAACTAAGGAAACGACACTCCGAAAGTTTCGCCATTTTCGGAGGTAGGTTAAAAAAATTCATAATTCTCAAAATCGTACTTATATCCCCTGACCTCATTTGAAGTTGGAATTCAAATTAAGTTGTATAACATTTTTTTTACCATCATGGACGCCATATTAGACTTTCCTAAAGGCGAAGTTTCTCACTCTTCTCTTATTCGAATAATGATTATATAGTGCTTTTGCTAAGACTTTATTATTTCAGAAAAATCAATCCCAGGATTCGTATATGTAAAATATACATTTGGAGGTGTCTTATGAAAAAATGTTCAAAAAGTTCTCTGCATTTTTGATTTGCTCAAAATCTTGGTTGTCTTTAATACCGACCTTTGTTCCAAATTGACGAACCTCCAGCATTTTCGGAAAGTCTAATGTGTTATGATAATTACAATGAGTTAAAGTTAACGCAATTCTGAAGTTGAAACATAAAATTAAGTTAGCCCCTGTACAATATCGCGACGCCTCTGTTCCATCCCCTCTTTTCTCGATAGACTTCTACAAATGCCCATCGGCGGTCCAATATTTTGGCAAAGTTTGTTCCTTGGCGCTGCTTCCCGCTAATTTATAGCTAATTAACTTCAGACGATTAACTTCGGTAGAGTTTAGCTTCAGCTTAAGCTCCGAACTAGTTTGTATATTAGCTAGGTTTTAATTTAATTTATACCTGCCGTCAGCCAACTTAAATTACTTTAATTTTGACCCGTTATAAATTCCATTGCGAGCTGCACATTTACTCGAGGTATTATATGCTAATTGATGTTATAGCTCAGAGACTTTAATAACCGGCAAGATAGCTTTAAAGACGACTTCATTAGACAGGTACAAAGCAAGTTCCTGCAAGGCTTGACTCAACTCCAATAACACCAGCAACGTTTCTGCAATATAAAAACTTTACAGTTTCCAAAAGGAAAGTCTACTGCTCTTTGGCTCTTATGTCTATAGAAAATATATTCCGCATATTACGTCAAGTCAATATTTGATGTAATAAAAATCCGTGTCGCTCTTTGACATTGCGATCAAATGATAAGAAAAAACTCGTAATATGGAAACCTTAAGGAACGAGTACCACAGGCCCAGGGAAGAATTTTTGTTTTTGGGAATTTTGTAATTGTTCTTCGCTAAAACTATTGTCACACTTTCCTCTCCAAACTCTCCTATTCATACCAAAACCATAAATAAGATGATGTCAAACCAATGCAACGACCGACAGAAAATGTAACGCAGAAATGTCAGCTTAAAAATGTATCGGAACATTCAGTACTGTTTTGCTAATGGCACGACATTTTGATTGAAATGAATAATAAATTATGTTGACAAATTGAATTTGCTAAATGTAAAACATACAGCCAGTCCCACTCGGCCGAAATCGAATCGCGAAACCTTTCAAAATCGAATTAATTGTATAATCGTGTATCAGTCAAACATGTAAATGTATAAATATATTATGGGTTGGAAAAAGCGGGGTATTCTCTTCATATTAAATGATAATCATCGTAATGCAGTCTGGACGCTGATTAGATTGAAAATACAGAGTACATTACACATGCGACATGTTGTCTGGGTCATCAGGGTGCTAAAGGCAAACAGAAAATAATGACAAAAGACTGGACGTGTTCAATATGTTCTCAAAAAAACACCAAATGCGGGTTCGATAATATAAATAAACATCCTATTTTTGCCATCAGTCGCGGTGCAGAAATATAGCGTCTTCGTTCGATATTCGGCACGCGACACCCCGGAATCGGCTGATATCAGTGTGCGAAAGAGTGGAGTGAGGATAAAAGCGCGATACGTGCCTCTCGAAGATACCGCTCTATCGCCGTGGCGGACCTCAATTTAGAAATAAATTGAGTTTCCGGATGAGGTAATACTGAAAAATGCCGCCCGGCCATTATCTCTTCGAGCGTTGACGCTGAAAGGCTTGGCGGAATTTCAAACGATCGGACCTGTCCAGATTTTCGACACCGCTGCTGGCGACACGAGGACACCGTAGGTGCGGATCGTATATTCTCAAGGCGTCGCGCACCGGCACAACGGCTAGAAGGGATTATGAGGCCGGCCAACTGCTTTTGGCAGCACTCCCGTGTCAAGTATTTCAGCACAATGCAATCATAACGCGTCATAAATAATGAAGCTAGTATATTTGGATACCGATCCACTACTTTTTTTGAATTTATGGCGTTAACGTTAACCTTATCATTATACTTTATCATTTAACTCAATTTGATTATTCAAAGATCTCTTAACTACAACTAATGAGAAAGACTAGCACATGTTTGAACAATGACATTAGAGCTTTAGGAAAATTAGTACAATGCTATCATAGCGCGTCATAAATAATAACGCTTGTCATATATTTGGATACCGATTCACTACTTTTTTGAATTTATGGCGTTAGGTGACGCTAACCTTATCATTATACTTTATCATTTAACTCAATTTGATTATTAAAAGATCTCTTAACTAAAACTAAGGAGAAAGACTAGCAAGTGTTTGAACAATGACGTTAGAGCTTTAGGAAAATTAGTAGAATGCTATCATAGCGCGTCATAAATAATAACGCTTGTCATATATTTGGATACCGATTCACTACTTTTTTGAATTTATGGTGTTAGATAACGTTAACCTTATCATTATACTTAAACATTTAACTCAATTTGATCATTCAAAGATCTCTTAACTACAACTAAGGAGAAAGACTAGCAAGTGTTTGAACAATGACATTAGAGCTTTAGGAAAATTAATACAATGCTATCATAGCGCGTCATAAATAATAAAGCTTGTCGTATATTTGGATACCGATTCACTACTTTTTTGAATTTATGGTGTTAGATAACATTAACCTTATCATTATACTTAAACATTTAACTTAATTTGATTATTCAAAGATCTCTTAACTACAACTAAGGAACGAAGACTAGCAAGTGTTTGAACAATGACACTAGAGCTTTAGAAAATTAGTACAATGCTATCATAGCGCGTCATAAATAATAAAGCTTGTCGTATATTTGGATACCGATTCACTAATTTTTTGAATTTATGGTGTTAGATAACGTTAACCTTATCATTATACTTAAACATTTAACTCAATTTTAATATTCAAAGATCTCTTAACTACAACTAAGGAACGAAGACTAGCAAGTGTTTGAACAATGACACTAGAGCTTTAGAAAATTAGGACAATGCTATCATAGCGCGTCATAAATAATAAAGCTTGTCGTATATTTGGATACCGATTCACTACTTTTTTGAATTTATGGTATTAGATAACGTTAACCTTATCATTATACTTAAACATTTAACTCAATTTGATTATTCAAAGATCTCTTAACTACAACTAACGAACCAAGACTAGCACATGTTTGAACAATGACATTAGAACTTTAGGAAAATTAGTACAATGCTATCATAGCGCGTCATAAATAATAAAGCTTGTTGTGTTTTTGGATACCGATTCACTACTTTTTTGAATTTATGGTGTTAGATAACGTTAACCTTATCATTATACTTAAACTTGTAACTCAATTTGATTATTCAAAGATCTCTTAACTACAACTAAGGAAGCAAGACTAGCACATGTTTGAACAATGACATTAGAGCTTTAGGAAAAATTAGTACAATGCTATCATAGCGCGTCATAAATAATAAAGCTTGTCGTATATTTGGATACCGATTCACTACTTTTTTGAATTTATGGTGTTAGATAACGTTAACCTTATCATTATACTTAAACATTTAACTCAATTTGATTATTCAAAGATCTCTTAACTACAACTACGGAACCAAGACTAGCACATGTTTGAGCAATGTCATTAGAGCTTTAGGAAAATTAGTACAATGCTATCATAGCGCGTCATAAATAATAAAGCTTGTTGTGTATTTGGATACCGATTCACTACTTTTTTGAATGTATGGCGTTAGGTGACGTTAACCTTATCATTATACTTTATCATTTAACTCAATTTGATTATTCAAAGATCTCTTAACTAAAACTAAGGAGAAAGACTAGCAAGTGTTTGAACAATGACATTAGAGCTTTAGGAAATTAGTACAATGCTATCATAGCGCGTCATAAATAATAACGCTTGTCATATATTTGGATACCGATTCACTACTTTTTTGAATTTATGGCGTTAGGAGACGTTAACCTTATCATTATACTCTATCATTTAACTCAATTTGATTATTCAAAGATCTCTTAACTACAACTAAGGAACAAAGACTAGCAAGTGTTTGAACACTGACATTAGAGCTTTAGGAAAATTAGTACAATGCTATCATAGCGCGTCATGAATAATAAAGTTCGTCGTGTATTTGGATACCGATTCACTACTTTTTTGAATTTATGAAGTTTTCATACTGTTTTAACATTTAATTTGATTACTCAAATACCTATATTACCTACAACAGAAGCTTATGCCCAAAAACCGTAAACGCAAAAACGAGAACAAAGTCGAATGTTCCAGTAATGATATTAGGGCTTTAGAAAATTCATTAGAAACATATGTACAATATTAGAAGTATTTGGAATTTTTCAAAAGAATCATAACTGAACTTGAAAACTTGATATCATAATATGAATCAGCTTGATAGACACTATCTCTGGTAAAATTTCTCAAGGACCAACGGATATGATCCAAAGCCAGTTAAAATACAGATGTTCCTGCTACCGATTCTGGTCACATCTGATAAAATTCTTCGCAAGGAGATCGAGAACGAGGCATGGCATACTTGATACCGCGTTCACGATCTTATTACCAATATGTGGTAGTAAATATTCTACACGTACCACTGACCAAAATGCCTCGTTAGGTGACATCTACGTGATTCTTTTAAGTTAAACATCACCATCTTTAGCAATTCTAGTCTCCTCTACAATCTGGAAACTGAATATCGATCTCTAGTTAGTATACGCGTCTTGAATCATCAGACCTTGAGATAATCTTGGTAAATACAGTCTTGACGATCTTCGAACACTGCAACGACAGCTAGAATAGAGTCGTTTTGTTATCATCCACTCTTAGGTGGACGCTTTCTCATTGTGTTTGCTATTCTCGTATTATGACTTTTAAAATCGTGATTTATAATTTTGTTCTCAAAACCTATGCAGCCGAACGACACATTGTTAATCCGATTTTCAAATGGCCCAAGGCTTCCTGAACTGAAAAAAGCCTGCCATAGATGAGCATTGAGTCCCCGAGCAAGTGAGCAGCGCCTGAGGTTGGGTCTCTTGACCTTGTACAGGCTGAAGAGGTGTCGAAGTCACTATGTTGCCGATGGACACCAGCGATAAAAATTTTATAACGCCCATGTACTTGTCTAACAACATCAAACAACCGATTAATCGCAGGGCAGGT